ACAGCACCCAACAATAAGAACTGGGTTGCTGCACAAATGTATTTCAAACAGAGGCTAGATTTTTATCATGCTACCCTTTATTCCATGGCTCTATTATAAAAACCCTGCTTGAACTGTAGAAGTAACTGTATTTCTAACAGTTCACGATATGTCCATCTAATAGGTGTATCATCTCAGATCATGGAACATGTTGTCAAAAAGATTAGAACTAAAGCTTACATTACATGGTATCTGTTTTGCCTTGACAATTCTACCAACAAGTTGCCAGTTACACTTTAAGTACTTCTTAAATAAGTACTGAGAAAAAGATTTTATACATTGTTAAGAACACAGGATTCTTCTTTTATAGTAATCATAAACTGACAAACAGAATGTGTTTAAATACATTAGTGTTCTATGGATAAACCTCCACATTTTTCTTTTCTTAACGTAAAAGTAACTGATCACACGTTCTTACAGCAGTGATTAGGAAATCACTGCTTGAACAAAAATGATTACAAGAATTCTTAAGAAATATAAAGAATTGTTATGCTGAAGAAGAGCAGTCATTAGCTATCCTATGAAGATTTTATGGTATACTATCAATTTGAATTATCCAGCAGAAACTTGGAGTCAAAGCTACAGAGACTGTCTTTAATTAGAAGAAACTTGTACAGTTGCAAAGGGCACTTTCACTTGTCTGACTCCCTCTGATATTCCTCAAAGAACTCAGTTTTTATTAGGAAAAATGTCACAGTGGTAGCCAATAGAGGGAAGAATTACTTTTTCCTGACCTAGATGTAAAGTACTTAGTCTGTAAAACGATTTTAAAGTGACACATGGCTCTGGATTTTATATCCCAGGTAAATGCCACTTTATGCTCATTAGTTTAGTTGATGGTTTCACCTTAATGGAACCTTGTACAACTTGCCACATGAAGACAAGTTGTGTGGATGGCCAAGTCAAAAATACATACATGTTTTTACATTTTCAAACAATGACCAAAAGCAAAAGGCTTATGGTTTAGCCTGCAGAAGGAAGTACCAAGACAATGTGTAAGTATTGCTGAATCCATCTAAGCTGTTTTTAAAGTAAAGAAAACTCCTGCCAAAAGACAGGTGTCCACCACTTTGTGAACTTAGGAGTTTTTCCTCACAGACAGCATATATGGTGCTTTATTGCCAAAAGAATGTGAAACAGGTGCTTTTGGTAACTGGTGATAAGTGAAGGACATGCAGACAGATGTGGAAAAAGCAACATGGCTCTCAGTGCAAAATCTGCACCAAAAGTACAAGGAAGTAATACCTCTTACAGTCTGCGATGGTTCTATAAAAGATGTAATCTACTGCTACTTTACTTCCTTTAAAGTAAAGGTCCTTCCTATATTTAACTCCTAACCTTGATTTGCTAGAATATGTTCTTATGTAAAATAGTCACTTACTTTGGGGAGGAATCAGATGTTTCACCACTGCTACGGCAAACATTACCAAAGTTTCATAATATGTTTATCTTGTAGAGAACAAAAAATCACAAGAAACCAAAAGCAATGTAAGTCTAGTTTTGCAGCCAGAGGCTGAATTATCGTACATACCACACAGCAGTACACAATCAAGAGTGCAATGCCCCACAAGAATAGGGCTGTATACAGGGCAATTGATAAAGGAAAGCAATATTTATTTTATTTATTTTCCAATGTATAGCCTGCCTTTTACCTACAAAGAGCTCAAGGCAGCTTACATCATTCTCCTCCTCCATCTTATCCCCACAACAACCCTGTGAGGTAGGTTGGGATGAGAGTCTGTGACTGAACCAAAGTCACCCAGTTGGCTCCATGGCTGAGCAGGGACTCGAACCCAGATCATCTGAGTCCCAGTCGCACATTCTTCACCACTACACCACACTGGCTCTCCACACATGTTGTGTCCATAGCATTCATTGCACCATCCACATAATGTCGATGCAATGAAGAAGTGAAACGTTTCACCAAGTATCCAGATGCCAGCTCACTGTACTACTTGAAAACAATGGATTTGGGACATCTTGTTCATAACATGCTTAATACTTGATAATATCAAACAGGGATTTGCATCTGAGATAGCCTAGCACAGTTTTACTTTCCCTTGCGTCAGCTGCCAGTCAGTAAGCAAACGAGTACAAAGAAATCAAGTCTGGCCCATGCATCCATCAATCAGATCTCAGAAGCAGACAGGGTAGATACATACTGCACCTATTTACATAAGCAGTTTGCTAGTAATAAAGCATATGTTTGTGATCCAACAAATGCTGAATCAGTTGCAAATCAGTTATACAAATCTGTAAGCCGCAAGGAGACTTAGATTCAGCACCAGTTGGATTCTTTTTGCACCAGACTGTTAAACATTTATGTCAGCTTTACAGAGATAGTCTGAAGTACAATGGAGCTATTAACAATAATATAATTTTGAATATTAATAGATATGAGCTTATTAAGTGACTTATAATTCAGCTACTGGGATGCTAATGTGTTTTCAGAAGTGAAATACCTTGACATCTGAGATAATTGTCAACCTCCCATAATAAACAGCACTCTATTATCTTCATCTGTGTTAAGGGAATGTTAATATACCTTTCAAAACAATTAATTCAATACTAACGGTGACTGAGGCAACTCATTCTTCCCTTTATTCTTGTACCACTAGTTAACAGGTGATTTTAATTGCCACAGTAATCACATGTAATGAAGACTGAAACTATTTTTGATTAAATAAGATTTGCATTGAATTTGCTGGAGAAAAATTTGCTGTTCTTTAACAGCTATAGTCATTAGTGCTTTTCTCACATTCTGTTTATATCCATGCAGTATAAGAAATTTAATAAGCACACTGTTAGTGTTCAACTGCATCTCAATAAATGTCACTCCTGGCATATGAGCAGAAAGAATGTATGTTTCTACCAAAGCAAATAATAGTCAATAGTTTTTCATGTTTTCAACATCTTCGCCATAATTAAAACAACTATAAACTTGTAGGTGGTAGGCTCATCTCAACTTGGGACTATGGTTCTCCCCATACCACACCCCATCAATCGTTTCACTCAATTACATGCATACCATAACCATCTAAAAATTGTGTGTATGAAAACCTCAGTGCATTATCAAAATTAACCTCTTAAGATTGAACAATCCAAATCTGGAGAATGCTGGAAGTTGTCAATTTTCCCCGTTCTATATATGCATAAAGTTTTCTTATTGCTTTGTAAAGTATAAAGCAATAAGAAAACAACTAATTGTATTATGTAAGATAACTTCAGCATGGAGATTCACATTAGAGTTGGTGTATGTACTGGCAATACATGAAGTTCTAATCGAGGATAAAGAAAGACAAAGGGCAGCAGTAAAACTTTATGAGAAAGTAAACTAATCACAGTCATCAAATAAAACAACATGTCCAAAGTGTTTCCAAAGAGGATAATAAAATTGAAAATCATCTCCATCAGAAGCACTTAAAAATTTAACAAGGACAAAGTAGGATTTACCCGAGAGTGACCAAGACAAGCTGCTTTTGAACATAATTTGTTCACATTGTGGTTGGTACTTTCTCAAGGTAAAACATCACAGGCAAACTGGTCAAGATTTGACTCTGTTAGGAACCTTAGTCTTAAAATGGAAAAGGTTTGATTATGCAGCAATGTAACCAGGTTCCAAAAAGGATAACATGTCAGAATATACTCAATATCCTTGGGAAAGATAAAATGAACAGAAGTCTATGTTTTGCTAAAGGCAATAAAATAACAAAAGTTAGGAAACTGGCCACAGGGTGAATGTGATGCTTTCACTCCATTTTTTCAGAATTTGAACTGAAGTCTTGAGTCAAACAACACACCCCAAACTGCTTTTTATAATATTAGGGTTGCATGATATCTTCCAAATAATAAAAAGGTCACTTCAACTTACAGTGCTTTTAATTTAAGAAAGATCTAATTGGTTCAGATCCTAAACAGTTCTACTACCTTGATTGATTTTAATTATATGGTTTGTTCTGCTATACCGCTAATATACCTTGACATATTATGTAATATTTCTCAAAAGAGAGTACTGTTATCTTTGCTAGGACTGAATCCCATCAAATTTACTCAGTGGGTAGAAAAGACAAGTCAAGTACACACTGAGCATGTGTTTTGTGTTTTGTGTTTGAGATGGATTAAGCTCTTCCGTGCACAAAACTGAAATTAAACTACATGGCAAAGTAACTCCCATTCAATCTAATTCATATCTGTGCCATATCTTTCCTCTGTTCCAGGATGTAGAATAAAGCATATGTTTAAACAGTCTTCTGGAATTCTGCAAAGAACAGATGTTAGAGGCCTATTTATTCTTCCTCTCCTTTCTTACTTACACCCTCTCTTATTTAATGCCCAAACTTACCATATAGTATCATTTCAGTTAACTAGCAAGCTCAATATACACCTTGCTTTATCATATCCAACTGTCAATCTGTGAAGGTCACAAAGACTCAGAGAGAGAGAGAGAGAGAGAGAGAGAGAGAGAGAATGAGAGAGAGAGGGAGAGAGAGAGCGAGCGCGCGCGCATCCATGTGCCATGGGGAACCTTCAAGCTGCGGAAGAATGATATTAACTGCCACACTAATTTCTACAGTTTACATAAGGATGATAGAATAATAAAGTTTGTTTCCAAATGAGAATACACTAAAAATTAACTATCCCCAAAGAAAACAAGTCAATAACTTTACATATATGCCTATATATACACAAAGGTTGGGGTGTGTGTTTACATATCTCTCCCATCTAAACACACACACACACACACAGTATGAGAGAGAGAGAGAGCGCGCGCGCACGAACATGAGAACATGGAATAATACCAGTAACAAAAGAACATTACAACACAGAGTAAAAAAATCTGGAAATACTGTCTTTGTTTATTTACCTCCAATAAAGCCACTAAGTACTTTTATTACCTCAGGAGTTCCAGAATTAATCAATGTCTTTATCCATACATATTATTAGTGCAAATGCCATCTTACCTTTATTCATGTCAATCAGTTGCTTCTTCTTTTGCTGCCTTTCCAGTTTCTCACGTTCTGCTTTCTCTTTCGCAAGTTTGGCTCGTTTAATCTTCTCCTCCAACTCTCTTCTCTTGTTGTTTTCTTTCAGTGCCTCCTGCATTAGAAATGTGGAAAGCAGGATTCATCCATTACTTATGCACAACAAATTGAAGGAACCTTGTTCGTGTACACTCTTGACTTGCATTTTAGTTGCCTGGAGAAAAACTCATACCACCTTTGAAAGTAACAGGCAAATAACTGGATTTTTTAAAAAGAAATAAAAATCTTTCTGTACCTTTCAGTCTGATACATTTTTTACTTGTATACAAGGCAAGACCAGCATATCCAGATGGGGGAAAATAAGAAATATCTATGTTGCAGAACTGCAAAAGAATTATATACCAGACACAAAACCAAGCATCCTTATCCAGTTTGGATAAACTGAATCATTAAGTTACGAATTATGCTGTGTACACTCAGATAACTCTATTATAGCATGCTTTTAAAGGAAACAAAAAAGTAGCATTTCATACTTACAACACGTACAACTTCTCAGCCCTAAGTTTTTAAAGTAATAGGAAATTTGAAAAAGTTTTACAGTGCAACTTTTTCTCTTCAATAAACATTGACATTCGATACAGAATTTCATGTCTTTTCCTGTTGAGATCCTGTTGACAGTTTTCATAATCAGTTTACATCCAGATTGTGTCTAATGATCTTACAAGTTAATTTTAATTTCAGTTCATAATATAATGATACACTTTGTAATGTTGGTTGCCTAGTATTCTGAAGAAATTCAAACTAGCTAGTGAAACTAAACTGCTCATATACAACACCCTTCCAAAAGGGTGTGCCTTTGAGTTCTTTAAAGCAGCAGTTGGCTGTCATTTCAATAATTCAACTTGTTCTCTCTTATGAGCTTTGAACTAATGTGAATACTCATGAGTAAAACTCTATTTTTTTAAAAAAAACAACAAACCTGTCTACTTCAACAACTTCATTTTTTCACTAGAGTTTTTATAAATGCTTCATCCCTTTACAAATTTCTATCTCTCCAACTTTTTATAAGGTCCTATTATGTAGTAAGGGCAACTCTGAAGCAAATTTTGCTTTAAAAATATTGCAAGACAAATCAGCCATCTCTGGTCATTTGTCAAAGCAGTTTTTGGTTGCTTTGTCCAGCACAACTCAGGAAGACTTATGTCGCTGCTGCTGCAATAGATTTATGTATTTGTCAGTCAGACAGTATAGGAAAAAGTAAGAGATTTTCTAGAGAAAATAGAAAGCAAAATGGTGCAGATGAAATACTGGGTTGTAAATCAATTAAATTTAATTGTTCAGATAAACCAAAATCTAGCAAAAACATGTTAAAAGGTTTACATTACTCGATTCTATTAGCAGGCAGGCAATGCTGAATATAAAAGTTACAATTCCTGTGAATACTTGGTCAATCTGTTCAGAAAATCAAGGACTCCATTAATTTTGATGGCATATGAATTCATTCCCCTTAATTTCCATCAAGATGATTAAGACTAATATCTAGATTCAGAATGTGCCTATAATGCTGAGAGGCTAGGAATGTGAATGCATTTGTTAGTGTGAATGTTTATTCTGCAACAGAGAAATCCTAAAGCCCCTCAGCAGCATCTACAGGGACATAGGATGATGAACATTTTGATTTTTGGAACCAAGGTCATAAAGGAACTCCAACCCCAGAAATGGGCCTCTGTATGCAGATCTTACTCACTGTTGGCACAGAAAGAACCATATAAGCTTCTTCTCTGAGGTTGTAAGAACAATCCTGAAGAAGAGTTCAGGGGTGGGGAGGGGAGGAGACTGTTGCTGCTAAAATACACTGTACTGTAGTGGCATCTTAGCCTGTTTTCCTCTACCTCTAAGATGCCACAGCTGGATTACCAAATTCAGCCATCTTGATGCTTACAGGAGCAGCATGGAAGGAATCTTTTTCCATATTCTTGCACAGGATGAGCATATTCCATCAAGTTCCCAGAGCTATGGCCCTCCCTAACTTAGAGAACATTAAGTACTTTCTTCAAAACAGGTGTTTGTTTTCTAGCATCTAATGTTAATTGTTGATTTTCTTTTTCTGGGAATAACAACTTTGCCCCAAATGTAGATAACTTTCTTCTACAGTTTTTAGGAACTACTGCAAATTTAGAAGCTTTAAACTCAGCTCAGTGAGGGATTTTTCACTTAGTTTAGTTCTGGGAAACTAGTTTTGAATGGGCACTCAGATATTTCATATGAATGAGTAAATTAATTCACCTTACAATCTAAATTGCCATATTTCATAAACAGATAAAGGGTGCTATATTTCTGATAACATACTTTGTCTTTATGCTGAAAGAATTGTAAGTATCTGTTAACTTTGTTTTTAACTTGGCTTGTTTTAGGAAACATAAAATCCAGTTTGGCAACATCTGGACATAACAACAAACTATATCATTGTTAAGTTTCAAGTCATCACCAACTCCTAGGAACCCTATGCATGAATGCCCTCCAAGATGTCAAGTTTGATATTAGCTCTGATCAGCTTTTGCAAACTCAAGGCCATCAGTTCCTTTATGGAGTCAAACCATCTCATATTTAGTCTTCCTCGCCTTCTGCCTTTGACATTCCCTAGCATTATGGTCCTCTCCAGTGAGTTTTGCTTTCTCATGATGTGCCAAAAGTATGACAGCTTAATTTTTTCCATTTTAGCTTCCAAGGAAAGTTCTGGCATGATCTGATCAAGGACCTACTTGCTCATCTGTCTGCTTTTCCAGGGGTATTTAAAAAACAAAAGCAAATGTTTCTGATCTCTTCTTACAGCCATGTTGAGCCCAACAATTGTTCATTAAACTAGAGTGCATTTTTAAATATGAAGCTTCATTCATGTACCACTAAATCATCATATATTTTATATGTGAATGAGGCCAATGTCAGGGCATCCATAGAGGAGAGGAGAAAAATACTTCTCCTCAAGTCATGGCAGGGGTACAGTGTCACCAGAGCTGCTCTAGCTATCTTCTATGTCTCCTGAGTTTTTTGCTATGGTGGCTGAACACAGTGCTGGGAACAGCTAGTGGAAGCGTCTTCACAGGTGTGCACAGTATGTTAAAGACTGCAGTAACAAGTGCTGCATGCTTGGAGGGAGTGATTGCAGATGAAACACAACAGACCATCCATACTTTTCATCTCAGGGGATTCACAATTTCAGGACCAACCAGGAGGTATCGTGCATGCCTATGTTGATCTTATTTTATCTCTATCTCTTTTCTAGGACCAAACAAGGCAGTTTTCAAAATGCTCACGAGGAAGTAAGTTCAATAAATGCATGGAAACCAGCAAGGCCACCTATTTTAGAATTTGTACTGGATGTTGTGGTCCAACTCCAGTGCTGCAGGATGCCTAACAGCTTGTAGCCAGATCCAAGAGTGGTCTGGAACATTTTGGCCTCATGAGCCTGGGGACTGTCAGAATCAGTGAAAGCCTATCTTTGACAGTGTCCCCATGGGACTGCAGGGGGAGTTACCCCTGTCTGTCTGGCAGCTTCTCTGTGAAAACCAAACAGGTGGAGGGCCGATATTGGAGGTGACACATAGGTTGAAGGGTCAACACAGGAAGGCCAAAAGGAGATGCCCTATTTGGACAGAGCTTTTATTGAGGGGGTACATTCTCTTGACAGTTAGCTGGTCAGGAAAGAGCACTATTGTGGTCACACCTTCACTCTTCAGCAGATGTCCAGGCTAGAAGAAAGGAACATACTTATTATCACCACCTCCCCCTGCCCCAATCCTCACTTTCTGGACTTTCTACTCTCAGATCCTCTTGAAACATTCTTTGCATGAGCTCTCCTTCCAATTTGGACTCATGTGCTTTTAACAAGGTATTTTTAAGAGGTGGCCATGAAAAGTAGTGCTATATTATTCACAGAATGTGAATCCTTATTTATTATAGATTATAGTAGGCATGTCATGAGCAGAACCGGCTGGAGCTGGGGGTCAGACTAGATGGCCCAGGAGGCTGCTTCTGACTCACTCTGTCACTTCATTGTTAATAGTATGTAGTAGGCACAGGGGTTAAACTGATCTGATCCTCTACATATGTGGAATTCTTGAGGTCTTTTTTGAGAACCATATCTTTGCTTGCCTGGGAAGGTTTATCCCATGAATCATTCAAGGCTTTGCCCCGTAATGTGAGCGGCAGATATTATAATGGGGAAATCTCTGACACAGTTACTAGTTCTTGCTTTGAATCATGGTGGAACTGCTTCTCAACCCTACAGCTAATACTCACCAGCTATCTATTTCCTGAGAAATGAAATCACCAAAACTTTACCATGAAAATTGGTACAGTAACAAAGCATCAATGGCTTGGAGTATCCTGTTTTAAAAAGTCACTCTGTGTGCTTGAAGAATTGGGCCAATAACATAGTGTAGGAACACCACCTTAGTTCCAAAACAGAGGAGGAGGGTGAGATGACACAGAAGGCAATAAAGCCAATTAAAGCCATACAGGACAAAGCTAAATTCTGGTATGCCTACAAAATAGTAACTGCAGGTAACCATATGCTATAGCATTGTAGTATATATTGGACAAAATACTGCAGATTATGACTTAGATCCAAACATTTCCTGCCTTTCATTGAATTTTGCACTAAGAAAGGAGGGAAAGGCAGAAAATCTAAATAGTAGTATTTTCACAGTAGTATTTACTGAAATGTAAAACTTGGCCTAAAATTGCATAGTATCTCATAAGGGTTTTTTTCTATGGTGAAGATCTTTCTGTTTCCATCATAAAAGAGAGGTGCATGCATGGGTGCATGAGAGAGAAAGAGAGAGAGAATCATTTTGCCATACCTAGGACATTTCCCCTTGTAAAGAAAGAACTTTAAAAAATACCAAAGTGATGGATTTCATTCCGTACAGGGAAAGGAGAGATGTATGAGAGAGGTCAAGTGGGCATGTTTCATGTGGCAGGGTTTACCTTAAAAGAAATGTTTTAAACAGATGAAGTCTCCTGATAAAAATTTCCCCTTATATCAGGATGCTAGGAGAAAAGAGTATAGATTAAAAATCAAAGGACCACAACAAGTATGGAGAGATGATGGGA